AATATGCAAATGACTACGAAAAAGGTCACTATAGAACCTAACAGAAGAAACATTTCCAGTTACATGTGACGCCCAAACGCACCAATAGCTACCGCATGGAATGCAGGTGATGCTTGGGATCATCATGGGGGTCCAACCCAAGATTTGCACGACTCTGACTTTGAATGTTACAGTCATTGTGGCATTGAATTCCAGGGTGGAAACATCAGTTTAATTGTTTTAGTGACCAGAAAACAAATTTTGATATGCGTCGGCTTACCCAAAATGAAAGGTTACGTGCCCTTGGCATGCTACAGATCGGCACAACACAGGCGGTTGTGGCGCGGACGATGAATGTTTCTCAGTCTGTCATAAGCAGGCTATGGTCCAGATACCGTGATACACAATCTGTACAGGACAGACCACGCTCAGGTCGACCAAGGGCGACAACTCAAGCCCAGGATCGATTTATCCGTACCTTGGCCTTGAGACATCGTGTCATCACAGCAAATCAGATCAGCGCTCATCTTCAAACAGACACTGGTGTGAGAGTGAGTGGCCAGGCGATTCGAAATCGACTGCATAGGGGTCACCTTCGCGCCCGATTTCCTCGGGTGATCCCTTGTTTGAGAGATCATCACATTCAGGCAAGACGTCGTTGGTGTAGGGATCGTCAACACTGGGATAATCGACGCTGGAGCAATGTGATGTTTTCAGATGAGTCAAGGTTCACTGTTGATTTTTTGGACAGACGTAGGAGGGTGTGGCTTCGTCGAAACGAGCGCTTCCAAGACGTTAACGTCATCAGACATGATCGATTTGGGGGTGGTTCTGTTATGGTGTGGGGAGGCATCACTGTTGCTGGAAGAACGGCTTTACATGTTGTTGCAGGGCGTGTTACAGGCCAGTACTACCGGGACAACATCTTGGCAGTCCATGTTGTGCCGTTCGCACGACGTCATGGCCGCCGTTTCATCTTCCAGGATGACAACGCAAGATGTCACAGGGCCAGGATCGTTACAGGTTACCTCCAACAACAGAACATCACCACAAAAAACTTGGCCAGCACTGAGTCCCGACCTCTCCCCCATCGAGCATGTCTGGGACATGCTTGGACAGAGGTTACGTCAACGTCAACAACGTCCTGCCAATGTCCAAGAACTTGCTGCTGCGTTGCAACAGGAATGGGACAATCTGGACCAAAATGACCTTAGACGTCTCATTAGGAGTATGCCACGTCGGATCAATGCTTGTTTGGCAAACAGAGGAGGATTTACCCGTTACTGACTTGGTTGTGATGCTGTGGTAACTTTGCTGTTTGACCTCGGGTATCATTTTACCCTTATAATGGTCAGTCTGTGCCTTACTTAGTCTAACGATCATTTGGAATAAATCGATGAATGTGAACTTCATTTCATTTTGTCATTTGATTCTTCGTCAGTTTCATTAGGTGACTTTAATAACACTTAAAAATCAAATATCCCCTACTTTTTTTGAATAGTATATGTAAGCTGAAATTATGAGAACAGAATAGTCATGTGAATATCTTTTTACCTTTGAGAAATTAGCTTTTATAACAATTTTTTAAAAATATTTATAACGATGAAAATAGTAATAACATATTATATGGTATAATATACAATGCAAAACGTTCTACCCGACGGGGTAACAAATCGTTCGTTTGGCACTTTATTTTATTTACTTTAAAAGAATAATTATTAAAGATTGAAATACAAAAAATCATAAATTGAACTGCCAAACATCTGCTACCTGACGAGATGGCAGTAAATTCTATTACCCTTTGAAAACATCATTCATTTAATAAAAACAATTCATAAAATCAAATGAAGACCGCCACAGCATACCCATCCACGTTATGGCTATCCAGACAGGGAGAGAGAGAGTTTCCACAATTTATCATCTTGGTACGCGTGCAAGAGAGGCGCGGATAAAAAACGAAAGTTGATATAGTTCTTTGAATTCATATTTTCTTTTCTTACATAATAGTAAAACGATTCTACATTACAAAATTTTAGTTTCCTGTGAGCTGTAATCAATTTTGCAACTCTTCCACAAAATAAATCACCGTTTTACTTCTACGTACACTTGTTCGTAAATTGGCTCCTGTATGTTTCAGAGAGCCATGGTGGCTAAGTGGGTAAGATAAAAATAAAGACGCTGGCTCGCTAGACAGGGAGGAGGTCGCGTGTTCGATCCATGCATAGGTTGAGAAAGTTCATCTGGATTTTCGGGCGTGATTCCCCTTGTTTGTGGTGAAGGACGGCTGCCTTGTTGTTCGGGGCGACAAAAAACCAAGATCCTGTGCATACATTGGCGTGCACGTAAATGGTCAATTGGCAGTTGGAATTCAATATAAGAGTAGGCCATAGTACCGCCACACTGTATGGCATATGGCAGTTTTCATAAGCGCAGGACATTAAGCCCCATTTCCTTTCTTGCGTTTTCATTGTACTATAATAGTTAAAAACTAGATAATGTAAAGGCAATTTGCTGTATTTCAGTCAAATTGATCCACAATGAATCGAGAATTAAGCGATTGGAATTTCCGCCTAGCCTCGATCATCATTACTAAAGTCGGTACGATAAAAAGCATTGTCTCGATTATCCATTTAATAATTAAATCTTGGAGGAAAGTTATGCAGTAAATCGGATCATAATCCACTAAAGATCGCAGACTAGCGTTGCCATCGAGAGTTGATTATGATCTGGATAAGTTAATTAATGTCTAATTGATAATTTAGATAACATTTCAGGTCTAAAGAAAGACGTGCAATAGGCAGATTTACCTCTTGCATAATGTATGTTTAAACAGATTGGATATAATCCTTGAGTGGCACTTAGTGATTGTGCACATTAAAAAACACAACACACTTTATATGGAAATCAATCACTGGTTTATACACATATAACACGACGTTTCAACAAGTATTCTCTTATCGTTATCGAGTACAAAGATATGATATGATGTGTTGTCTTCTGCTGACCTATGGGTCACTTCAATACATCAAATTATAATTCATTTCAATTGGATTACCTGACGTCTGACTTGTTTATGATTTTTGGAACCAATATTAGATCGGGGCTATAAAATTGTTACACATCACCCATATGGACATTAGTTAAACTCAAAGACAATATCAGTAATGAGGACTTCAACCGTCATCATTAAATATAAGACAGGGATAACTTTAGTCATCATTTTGCAATACCCATTATTAAGAGAGAGAGAGAGAGAAATGGGGTTTAACGTCCACTCGACACAAACTAGGTCATTTCGGGACTAACATATGGTTTAATTTTATTTACATAATTCGCTTGCTCGTAGGGGTCTTTAGCAGTGGGAGGAAACCGGAGGACCCGGAGAAAACCCACGAGGTTGGACAGGCCACCCTACTCCTTGCCACGTACAACCGGGGATTCGAAACCACCCCAGTCGACTCAATGACAGACTTTATGATACAGCGCGCGCACGCTAACGATTCAACCATCCACCCCCCCCCCCCCATTATTAAGAGAGAAATGAAATTTAACATCGACTCCACATTAGGTCAATTGGGGACTATTATATGTTAAATAGCAGGACGGAGGGGCTGACAAGAAAAGCTGTCTAGTCGTTCGGATGGGACGAAAAACCGAGGTCCCGTGTACACATTGGCGTGCACGTAAAAATATCCCTTGGCAGTTGGAATTCGATACAAGAGAAGGCCGCAGTGCCGCTGCCCAGGCAAAATTTCCCTCATAGCACACTGTATGGTGTATGCCCGTCTTCATTATCCCAGGTTAGGAGCAGAACAGTAGGACGTTAAACTCCATTCCATTTCATTTATATGTTAAATAAATGAATAACTGGCTTGTGTGTTGACGTCATCAGGAGTGGAGGAATCCTGGGGATCCAGAGAAGCCACATGGTTAGACAGAGAACTGATGCAATTGTTCATCAGTCACATCCATCTGCGTTTTGGGGTCATCTTCAGCGAAAGGATTTCTCCCACGTTTGGCTGGAGCAGTTTGATTTGGAATTGGGGGACGTGGTTGTGCCACGGGAATCGGCTGGCTCTGTTGCTGTTGTTGTTGTGGAAAATATAAATACTGTTGCGTATTATTTGGGGCGTATTGTTGATTTGGTTGAAACTGTTGAGATAGCTGTTGCACATTGAGAGGCGAAATGGCGTACTGAGGATTTGTCACACACTGACCTGGAGGAGTAAACTGAAATATGCAATATCTTAAACTTATACCCATGGCAACTAAGCCGACTAAAAGAGAGAGAGAGAGAGAGAGAGAGAGAGAGAGAGAGAGAGAGAGCTTGGTGGGTGGGAAGAAACTAATGGATCTGGTGAAAACCTACAAGGCTGGACAGACACCAATTATGAGATCGAAACAATGTCACTATATTCAGACCACTTTCCAACCCAACCACCCTTTTAATGACAGGCATCCAGTCTCTAAACTCACAGACAATATCAGTAACGAGGAATTTCACTGTCATCATTAAATATAAGACAGGGATAACTTTAGTCATCATTTTGCCTTTATTAGGCCTAAGAGAAATGGGATTCAACATTGACTCCAAACAAGGTCATGTGGGGACTAGCCTATATGGTAAATAAATCAGTTATTCGATTGTTTGTTGAAGTCATCAGGCGTGAGAAATCTTAGGCATCCAGAGGATCCATTTGGTTAGGCAAACGACCCATTTTCTTGTCATGTACAAGCCTGGGGTCGAAACCACGATACTTTTACTCAATGACAGACCTTCAGTACAAGCGATTGACTAGCCCACTCTTCAACGAGTGTATATGTACAATTAGTCATGACACCAGTGTAATGGTATAAGGAGTTTTTTACATCTGTGTATGGGTAGTTACGAGGAGTTTACTAGCCCACTCTTAAACGAGTGTGTGGGTACAAGACATTTACACCTGTGTATAAGTAATGGGTACAACGAGTTTACACCTGTGTATAGGTACAAGACATTTACATCTGTAAGTTGAACCTACCTGTGAATTATTTCCTTGAGATTCCATTATGTTGTTAAAATCGCCTCCTTTCAAAATAAAAGAAATGAAATGAGCAGGGGCCGTATACAGATCGTTATCAAAAATTTAATTTTTTATGAAAGCTTCTAGTGGAATTTTACGATTTTTATGATATTTTTCAATCAAATTTTATAATGTTTTATCATATTTTATGATCTTTTTATAATCTTTTTTATCACATTTCACAGCTTTTTATATTTTTATCATTTTCAGATAATATTATTATGATTTTTTTTTTAACTGCACTGATAGCAAATAACTTAACCCGGTGTTCGCGAAGCAGTGTTCAACTAGTGTTAAGTGGATAAGAACGTCCCACCAGTACCACTGGTGATATTTTTTAATGGTCACAGTCTTCTTCTCCTATGTTCTGATTCTGAGTAAAAACTCATTAAGAAAATATCAGAAATCATTACAATTTGTTTCACTTCTAATAGTTTCTTGGAATGGGGCTCTTACGGTTCCTGGAAGTTTAGATTTTTCCATTCTAAATCGAAAGTGAAACTAGGCTAATGATTGGTTAATAACCGACTTGATCAAAGTGCTGCATTCTGTGGGCCTAAAAGGAAAAACGTCTAGCTTATCGGATGGGCCAAAAATCAAATCCCACCACTGAGAACTGGGATTATAAGGTCATTAGCCTGGAGACCCAGAAGCCTTTTCTTACCGTAGCTGATTTGAACCCCAGTTCCTGCTAGTATTTCATGTTCTTCAGATCAACGTATTAAAGTAGTAACAAAGGCTTTGTTTCTTGGAAAAGGTCTCTGGCGGTTATATCATTATCGGAAACGAGTTTCGATTTCTCCATTATAAATCGAAAGAGAAACTAGGCTAACGATTGGTTAATAACTGATTTGATCACAGTGTTAGCCTACTGCTGCATTCTGTGGCCTACAAGGAACACTGTCTAGTTGTTCGGATGAGGCAAAAAATCGAGATACCATGTTATGCTCAATACTGAAAATCAGGGATTCATGGACGGACCAAGTAGCTCAGGACCCTCGAACCAACTTGTTTCCTTGGGCCATAACGCGGCAAACAATATGACGAGAAAATTAAACCTAGATCATTTTTTTTTTCATCAGATTTGGCAGTTTATATTTTTCATTAGACAACAAGATGAGTTTCATTTATTTTGAAAACAATATATGTTGGGCCTTGTTAATCTATACAGACCAGCCATGTAATAATATACATTAACTTACGTCCTCCACTTTGAGGTGGATTCTGGGACAGAAGATAAGTTCTCTGTGCGTTTTCTTTAGCAGCCTTTTTATGAATCTTATCAATAGTTTTAGGATTATTATCTTCTCTTCTTGGCACCCAGTTACACTACAATATAAATATATTATTCATCAATGAACCTGAAATAATTTAACATATAAACCTGATATAATTTAATATATAAACATGAAATAATTTAATATATAACATGAAATAATTTAATATATAACATGAAATAATTTAATATATAAACATGAAATAATTTAATATATAACATGAAATAATTTAATATATAAACATGATAACATGAAATAATTTAATATATAAACATGAAATAATTTAATATATAACATGAAATAATTTAATATATAACATGAAATAATTTAATATATACTATTCAAAAAAAGTAGGGGATATTTGATTTTGGGGGCATAATACTAAAATATGCAAATGACTACGAAAAAAGTCACTATAGAACCTAACAGAAGAAACATTTCCAGTTACATGTGACGCCCAAACGCACCAATAGCTACCGCATGGAATGCAGGTGATGCTTGGGATCATCATGGGGGTCCAACCCAAGATTTGCACGACTCTGACTTTGAATGTTACAGTCATTGTGGCATTGAATTCCAGGGTGGAAACATCAGTTTAATTGTTTTAGTGACCAGAAAACAAATTTTGATATGCGTCGGCTTACCCAAAATGAAAGGTTACGTGCCCTTGGAATGCTACAGATCGGCACAACACAGGCGGTTGTGGCGCGGACGATGAATGTTTCTCAGTCTGTCATAAGCAGACTATGGTCCAGATACCGTGATACACAATCTGTACAGGACAGACCACGCTCAAGTCGACCAAGGGCGACAACTCAAGCCCAGGATCGATTTATCCGTACCTTGGCCTTGAGAAATCATGTCATCACAGCAAATCAGATCAGCGCTCGTCTTCAAACAGACACTGGTGTGAGAGTGAGTGGCCAGACGATTCGGAATCGACTGCATAGGGGTCACCTTCGCGCCCGACGTCCTCGCGTGATCCCTTGTTTGAGAGATCATCACATTCAGGCAAGACGTCGTTGGTGTAGGGATCGTCAACACTGGGATAATCGACGCTGGAGCAATGTGATGTTTTCAGATGAGTCAAGGTTCACTGTTGATTTTTTGGACAGACGTAGGAGGGTGTGGCGTCGTCGAAACGAGCGCTTCCAAGACGTTAACATCATCAGACATGATCGATTTGGGGGTGGTTCTGTTATGGTGTGGGGAGGCATCACTGTTGCTGGAAGAACGGCTTTACATGTTGTTGCAGGGCGTGTTACAGGCCAGTACTACCGGGACAACATCTTGGCAGTCCATGTTGTGCTGTTTGCACGACGTCATGGCCGCCGTTTCATCTTCCAGGATGACAACGCAAGATGTCACAGGGCCAGGATCGTTACAGGTTACCTCCAACAACAGAACATCACCACATTACCTTGGCCAGCACTGAGTCCCGACCTCTCCCCCATCGAGCATGTCTGGGACATGCTTGGACAGAGGTTACGTCAACGTCAACAACGTCCTGCCAATGTCCAAGAACTTGCTGCTGCGTTGCAACAGGAATGGGACAATCTGGACCAAAATGACCTTAGACGTCTCATTAGGAGTATGCCACGTCGGATCAATGCTTGTTTGGCAAACAGAGGAGGATTTACCCGTTACTGACTTGGTTGTGATGCTGTGGTAACTTTGCTGTTTGACCCCGGGTATCATTTTACCCTTATAATGGTCAGTCTGTGCCTTACTTAGTCTAACGATCATTTGGAATAAATCGATGAATGTGAACTTCATTTCATTTTGTCATTTGTTTCTTCGTCAGTTTCATTAGGTGACTTTAATAACACTTAAAAATCAAATATCCCCTACTTTTTTTGAATAGTATATAAACATGAAATAATTTAATATATAAAAATTGTCTTCAAGCAAGTTATAACTATAGAAATAGTTAAATCACAAAAAACTCACCAATCGTAAATCTATAACATCCTGTAAGATAAATCGTACTCTTGACGATGTTTTCTTATTTCCAACAATTTCCTGCATTTTCCGAAAGTACTGATCTATTCTATGCTGAAATATAAAAGAATTTCTTAAAAAATCGTAAAGACAAAACCCGTTGCCTACAGTCGATATCCGACTTGTCTAGAAATAAAGGGCATTTTATATAATTATTTCACCTTAGAGAGTGTATCCTCGATCAGGCAATGGTTATCCAGCCCCAGATCTGAATGGAAAGTAACCCCTCCTATTTACTGGGTTGCCTTCTTGATGTCCGACAATAGTAACCCATTGTTTCTGGGCTACCCTTCTTTCTGCATGATGGCCGAAATTAATAATCTCCCTTTCCTGCATATAGTTAGGACCAATTTTGCCTCAACTTTTATTACTCGACAACATCAAGTGTATTATGTCTTACCTTGGCCTTTTCTGTATCCAATTCTTTTCCTATTGTGGTTAATAATCTACATGAACATTCTAAATTCACCTCATCTCTCGACCGTAATAATTTAACTACACAATCATGCATAATGTTCTGCGGTAACAATTTTAATTTGCATAATTCTCCTATAAATCTGTAAATAGACAATAAGACAATAAACCGACTGATGGAATCAATCTGGTAATATCAGTAACGATGAATTCAACTGTCATCATTTTCCCCGAATTCCATCCAACAAAGATAATTTTGGTTATGTTTTGTATTATAAATTTTACATTTCTTTTTTATTTATAATGATATATTTCTGGACCTTATAACAAATGAAATAGTTAAACTTTTTACCTGATATTTCCTATAGATCTCCTCCTGGCTGTTGCAGCAACCTCCATTTCTTCTTGTAATTGTTTCTTCACATCTTCCTGGAAATAACAAGTTATAGATATATCTTATACAAATCATAACCAAGAAAAGTTAAAAATATCTTAACTTTCAAATCAAATCTCAGAAATGTTAAAAGTAAAAAAGTAAATCACCTCTACCAATAAGTAGTCAGATGAATATAGGCAAACCATTGAAAACTTCTACAGGTTCAACTTGGTCCACACTGGTATTTCAACCTGTTTCAAAATCCCTAAATTATGGTGAGTGGATATTAAACCCCCTTTTCTCTCTGATACATTCTAGGTAATATTGTGGTGTAATACCTGTCAAGTGGGATGACTCGTAAAATAAAGTCAACATTGTACTCACGGAGTCAGCTTCATTGATTTTCTTCTGTCGAGCTTCTAAATCTATTTCCACATCTTCATCTTTCTCAAACTCTCTCTGACATTTAGTTAATAAAATAACCCGGAAATTTACTTTCTCACCAGGTTTGCTATCAGACGGAACTTTCAACTGTAAATATATTATAATCATTTTGTTCGTTTAGTCACCATTTCTAAAACAGTCCAAGACCGCAAAAAAAAAAAATAACTATGGGTGCAAGAATCCCTGAAATTCTGTGACAAAATAAAAAAAATTGAACTTCACCTTCATTACGGTGAACGGTGATATAATCAAATGGTTTTTTTTAAAATGGATAATAATTCTGACCTCCATAAGGACCACAAATATCAAACAAACCCAAGATCTTTCGGTTATAAACATGTATTTCCAGTTTCATCAAAATCGGACTAAAACAGGGTCCACAGCCTTGATATGCCATATCTTTTACACTATTTGCGCACAAACAGCGGTCATTTTGTCCGGCAGTTTTGGTCTGATTTTCACAAAATTCACAATCAACCTTCATTGCGGTGTAACGGTGATGTAATCAAATGTTTTTTAAAATCGGATAATAATTGTGACTTCCAGAGGGAGCACAAGCTAAAAGATAGGTTGCCAGGCAACGAAACATACGCCCACAACAGCTAAGTCGTCCGGGCAGTCAATAACAGTTAAGTAATTATCAGAAACGGTTAGAGTTGTTTCGATTGTTTGTCTCCTAGCCTCCGTCCATAAGGTATTTCAAAATGATCAAGGGCTATAACTCTGACAGTAATAATTGAAAATCGTTGAAAATGACTAGGATCCTTCGTCTTATGACCTTAAACACTTTGTATAAATTTAAAGGCAATCGGAAATAAACTTTAGCCTCTAGAGCATCAACAAAATATTTCAAAGTGATCAAGGGCCATAATTCTGGCAGAAATTATCAAATATCACTGAAAATCATTAGGCTTCATTGTCTCAGGACCTTAAACACTGTGTATAAATTTAAAGTCAATTGGATATTAACTTTAGTCTCTAGAGCGTTTACAAGATTTTTCAAAGTGATCAACGGGTCATAACTCTGGCAGTAATTATCGGATATTGCTGAAAATCAAAAGGCTTCTTCGACTCATGCCCTTAAACACTGTGTATAAATTTAAAGTCAATTGGATATTAACCTTAGCCTCTAGTGCCTTTACAAGAAATTGTGGTGATTTTTCGTACAATCATGGGACCGTAATTCAGAAAGTTATGATCCGATATGCGCAAATATCAAAAGGAACCAAGATCTTTGGGTTATAAACATGCATTTCAAGTTTCATCAAAATCGGTTCAAAATTGTGAACTCTACAGTGTTCACAAGCTAAAAACGTGATTTTTTGTACAATCAGGGGCCATAATCCATGAAGTTACAGTCTGATACATGCAAATATCGACAGGAACCAAGATTTTCGGTGCTTAAACCTATATTTCGAGTTTGATTGAAATTGGCTAAAAATTGTGACCTGTAGAGTGTTCACAAACAATCGTGGACGGATGTCCAAACAGGGATGAGGACAATATACGTCCACATTTTCTATATTTTCATGTGGACGTATAAAAAGTGGGGGGGGGATGAAACGTAGAAATACCGGTATTGCTTGAAATTTATAATGCAGACTAATTCTGTCCTGATTATCAATCAACACATACTCGATCATTTCGGAACTAACACAATATGGCATCATTCTATTTCAATAAATTGATTGTGTGTACCGTGGGTGGGTTAGGGGGGTGGGGTGGGGCAAAAAACCAGGAGAAAACCTTAGTCAGACAACCCTACCCTATGTTATTGAAAAAAAGTACATAAAATAACAAAGATACATTGTTTGAAACGAAACATTCACCCACAGCAGCTTAGTCGTCCAAACCATCTACAAAGCCTGTCATTAGAGGAGAAAGTTTATTTTGATGCACATACCTGTATAAAATATCTAGACATGTTAGCATAGGCTAAACTATACATTGGTTGACTCACAGCCTATAAAATATAGATAAAAAAATGTTAGCTTAGATACGACAACTCAGATCTTAAAAGCTGAATGGAATTAAGCTAGCAATATCAGTAACGAGGAATTCAATTGTCATCATTAAATATAAGAAAGGGATAACTTCAGTCATCATTTTGCCGCAATTCCATTGGACTTTTTTGCATATGAAGACTTTTTTGGCAGCACCATAAATTCCTAGTAAAATTCTCACCTGTTCAAATAGTAAATCTGTGACACCTTTTAATCTTGTTTCTGTGTCGATATTTAAATCCTGAACTTGTTTTAATAAAGTTGTGAATTTCTGGGGAGTTAATTTATTCAAAATACTTTTCACACATTTGTAGATTTCCTGAAATGAAAAATCAAAACTTAGACAACTTTTATTTTATGGCAACACGAAGGATTCTATCACACAAATAAATTAGGGCTTTATTGTAACATCAAAGGGAACCCGGGCGACCCTTCCTTGCTGAGCTGAAATTCAGTGATGTCCAGCCAGTCCAGCCATAGAAATATATACTATGGTCCAGCTAACTAAAACTAAATTATTATGGCAATATCAGTAACAAGGAATTCATCTATCATCATTAAAATAGAGAGAGAGAGAGAGAGAGAGAGAGAGAGAGAGAGAGAGATGGGGTTTAACTCCACTGGACACAAACTAGGTCATTTTGGAACTAACATATGGTTTAATTTTATATCAATAATTCGCTTGCGCGTAGGGGTCTTTAGCAGTGGGAGGAAACCGGACTACCCGGAGAAAATGGGGTTTAACGTCCACTCGATACAAAATAGGTCATTTCCGGACTAACATATGGTTTAATTTTATATCAATAATTCGCTTGCACGTAGGGGTTTTTAGCAGTGGGAGGAAACTGGACTACCCGGAGAAAACCCACGAGGTTGGACAGGCGACCAGGCTTTATGATACAGCACGCACGTGCTTCGGCGATCCACCCCTCCCCACCCCACCCCTCCATAAAGAAGACAGGGATAACTTTAATCATCATTTTTGTCTTTGCCAGATCAATTTCAACTCATCTTCAGTTACTGGAGAGAGAGAGAGAGAAAGAAAGAGAGAGAGAGGGGGGAGAGAGAGGGGGGGAGAGAGAGAGAGGGAGGGGGGGGAGAGGGAGAGAGGTAACAAACAAAACCTGTTCAAGTCGTTGTATGACCATAAAACAATGTATATTCCAAGTCAGTCGGATGATAACTATAGTAAAATCAGGGTATATCTAGTATTTCTGAAGTCTAATCCCCCTTGAAATATACCCACTTAAACCAGGGATGGCCGGGTGTAAGGCTTAATGGGTTGAGGGATGCTATCAGACAGACTGACGGACAATTTAGTTATTAATAGGGTTACATACAGCCACTACTCTACTAAGCAACATGCAACATACGATACATATCAAAGCTTACATATATTTCAGCCTAGCATTAATAGAGGACTAAAGCTTTCTACTTACTATAAGCAATCCAAAAGAATAATGCACATGCACAGTAAAAACCCTTCTTCTATCTCCCAGTTGAACCGCCAAAACCGCAGTAGTCAACAAGTTGAAGTAGTCAAAGAGTAGAGGGGATATGGACCAAACGCAGGCCTTTATATAAAACCCACCACGCACGTGCAGAAAAGGAATAAACATCACAGACGGGCTAGTCCATTTTGGCATAAGGGGGAACTAGCTCACGTCTGCAACACACCCCCCAATTTTATAAAAACGGACCCCCCCTAGGGAAAAAAGCTAATATTTCAAATATCCCAAAAAATAACTCCCATCCCCCCATCCCTAGGATAGGTTTGGTCCATACTAATGAGAAAGGGGACAGAAGAGTATCAAAAAGTTCGAATCTAGACCAGAAAATAGAAGATAGATAAGCTCACAGATAGAAACAGAAAAGTACAAGGGAAAATGAAACACAGAGTTTAGGATAGGTTACAGAGGAATATAGTACAGGATAGTTAGACCATACTCATTTAACTGCCATTCTATTTCTTGAATTCAACCATTCTATTTACTTCTATCTTATTGGAAACCTCTTTTGCTCCATTCACCGATCTCCCGGGGACCCACTCCCATATCCTAACGATTACTTTCCCTTACCCCTTAAGAAAACCTTTCCCGGAAGATCTTCCGATCCCCCGAAGAAAGATACCCCACCAAGGTAGCCAAAACCCTCCAGTGAGTCAATAAAGCTGGGTGTCTTAGAGGATGGAGGGAGAAATCTTTAATAGGTACCCAACCCGACTGCCTTGCCAATTCCCGGAATGCCCCAAAAGTAGCCGGATCCACCTTACTATCTGTAGGTATAAGCCTGTCCCTATTTAATTTATCCATGACCTACCACAAGGATTCTCCTACCCCCGGAATCGTGCGAGCCTGGGAACGTACAGCCTACACACGTTTGCTAACTATTTCTGCACTAGGAATAGCTAACCCTCCCCGGGGAATAAGGTGGAAGATGTTTTTCAAAGACATGGATTTTCAACGAATTTGTCTTATACCCACACCCCGGAACTGGGCACAATGAAGCTTTCACTAGTCTGGACCTACTCACCCTCTCCCACGCCGAACTCCGACTCGTCCCCGGGCCAGGGAAACTCCTACAAATATTATCCCCCCTCTAGGGCCGGTCTACAACCAGATTCTACCCTAACTGATTCCTTATATGTCAATCGCTTCTTAGGTGGCACGGGCGAAAGTTCTCGAGGGCCCGGAACTATTTCTACCTTCCTAGATCCCCCCCTCCCCCCGAGCACTGGATCGATTATTTCCTACTACGGGAAGGCCATGTCCTGATGACACCTGATGATATCCTTCCCTTCCCTGAGTCCTGCTTCCCGAGGCAAAATGGAGATCCCCTCTGTTGACTGGTGGGAGCCTTTTATTAACCAATACCGTTTCCGGAACCCTAAACACCTCTGAAGTGCTACACTGAGTCCCCCCAAACCTATTACTCATTTCAGGCTGCCTGGGACGGGTTAATAAAGGTGATAAGAACGTCGGCCTAGCATACTGATTAGGTGGCTCCACCCTCAAGGACATTAAGGGTACAGGCCTCGGGATAATCCCCCTCGGTGTGGGCCACCTAGCCACCTAGCCAAAGGTATGGGGGGTTGCTGGATTCTATTCTGAGTAGGAGAGATAAATAGAGTTAATTCATCAACTTCTGGAGTAGGCCTATCATACATTCTCACATCCTGGGACGTGGGCCTTACAGGGACAGGAGGAGGGACTTGTTTGGGCCTGATTATATTAGACCATTCATCTAACCTAATAGGAGATGACAAGACAGACCATTCTGAATCGGAACTCCCAGAATTTGTACTCTCTCCTAACACCTGTGGGTTGGGCGGACTCAATACAATATCTGGCGACAACAATTCATCATCCCATGATGGTTCGGTCACTCCCTGTCCCTGTCCAACAGAACAGGGGAACCTATTAGTAAAACCTTTTCTCATTTCCCAGGCTTACCTTTTACGTTAATTAATAAAATCTTCAAAATCTGAAATAAAAAACACTCCGGGAGAAAATCATCTAATTTTCTCCCCGACCCCCCTCCCTCTATTGTAAGGCAGAATCACAAAGGGGGCAAGTGTATATATCTATAGACTCCGCCTCCTCGGGGGTTAAATTAACACACTGTCCATGGAACCACTCTAAACAATGATCGCACTGAATCCCAAACCCTCGACCCCATGGTTTTCGACAAACGCAGTATATCTTTCGTGTGGGTCGCACAGGAGTACTATTATCTCCCGCCATGATTTTATTCCTATAGTGTTGAACCCAAGGTGGTAACTCTTTATCGTGGCAAGGTTTAATTCTATCATGGTGCATAATAGATTGAGCATTACGTGTCTTAACCCTTAAAAGATAAGGAGTCACGACCTTGTCAACTACCCCTGGGCCTTTCCAATAAGGACTTAATTTCTTATTCCTCCCCTTTAGACATGCGGTATTCAAGACATACACACAATCCCCAATATCATAGGATATATTGGGCGTATACCCCGTACACCGGTTTACAGAAGAACGAAGGGCACCCGCTAACTGAGGCAAATAAATGTCCCAATCAGCTTGCGTGTCCCCCATATAGCAACGTAAGGCATCCATTAATGTCCGGTTGTATCGTTCCACCTGACCATTGGATGAAGGACGATAAGGGGTAGTGCAGGCTCGATGTATTTTCAATAAATCACACAAGGATATAAATAGGTCACTTTGGAAATTCCGACCCTGATCAATAAAAATATGGAACGGAACTCCAAATCTCGAAAAGAATTCATTGACCGCGGCTTGTGCTGTTATTTCCGCAGTTTGAGATGGCAAAGGGATACATTCTACCCACTTGGTGAATTGATCCACCATCATCAAAATATACTCATTTCCCTGATGTGATTTAGGCAAAGGGCCTAGAAAATCTAAGTGAACTCTTTCCATAGGTGCCCCCGCATGGTAATTGACCAAATTATGTCTAGCTTTCCTAGTTGCCTTCTTACTTTGGTTACATTGCTTACAGGATGCGACATACAACTTAATTTCTTGAGTCATCCCATACCAATAGTATCTTGTTCTAATTCTATGTCTAGTTCCATCCCTACCTTGATGACCCGCCAGAGGGACATCATGATTTAATCGTAAAAGTTCAGAAACTAAGAGCTTGGGCACTACTAGTTGAGAATGACCGTCCAGGTCTTTCCTATATAAAATTTGATTTTCATCAAGATAATATAATTTCTGATTGATCCAATAACTTTTAGAGGCAGGACTAGCTAGAAATAATTCACCCTCCCCTGGCTCTTATCTTATTAATCATCCAATTTAACAAAATCGCAAGATCAGCATTTCGACTTTGACCTACTTTAATTTCTTCCTCTAATTTGCCTGATAAATCTATTCCCGAATCGTCCTGAGTCAAAGTTAAAACTTGGGGATTTCCCTGAATATTTTGTGGAGAAACTATTAGTGCACAAGTTGTTAGTAAACCATCTAAATCGGTAGTACCAAGATTTTCATTAATTTTATCTTGCCATTCCCCTTTAAAACTATTTAGGTCAATATCCCTAGGGGGTTTCCTATTAATTTTGGGTGGAATTAGTTTGATATTCATACCAATTTTCATGGGCTCTTACACAATATCTACAACCTCCACAGGGCAAATCACTTGGACGTACATTCAGGGCAAAATCAGGACAAGGACCTGACACAGGTATCCTAGACAGAGCGTCTGCATTTAGGTGTTTGGAACCTGGTCGATATTTTACAGTCATATCATATTGGGCAAGTTCTTCCATCCACCTAGCTAACTGTCCATTAGGGCATTTAAACTTAAGTAACCAGGTAAGACTACTATGGTCAGTCCTGACCGTAAAAGGTCGACCCAAGAGATAATGCCTAAACTGATGGGTAAATCGAACAACCGCAAGTAATTCTTTCCGCGTTGTACAATAACGCTGCTGTTCAGGTGTTAGCGAAAAACTTGAATAGGCTATAGGGCTGCAACGATACACCAGGCCACGATACGATGCACATCACGATTCATACCCCACGATACGATTAATATCGCAATGCAGTTTTCTCGGTCCACTGAACGAATTCCATTCTTGTCATAATTTACGGGAAATCAAAAAAACTCCCATACTTGTGACTTATACTTGGCACAGGGATTTTCAATTTCTACATTATTTTTGTCGCCCGTACGGCCTGAATTTGTTGACGAATGCATCATTATTAAAAATATTCTGTTGCTGAATCAATTCAATGGCTGGCTCGTATTGCTACAACAATTTCAGGTCAGTCGTAGATGAGAGAATGGCAAAGAAAATAACAATACGAAATTTGAATGTCAAAATATTATTATACATTGAAAATATAGAAAAGATAATTGTGCTGATCATTGTATGCACCTATCACCATTCTTGCACAGTAGTCTTATTACAAATCGCATATTACTGACGTATTTATAATAATATTTTGTATGTTTTTTCCGCATATTATTCAAGTGTGTAATTTGCTAGTAACCTAATTTCATGCCTGACTTGCTTATCCAGACTGATATTTTATTTTATTCTTGACGAAATAGCTGAAAGTCTCGAATTATTCACATGCCGAAAGCGAGTTAACACGTACTCGCTGAAAGTAAAAAAAAGTTATTTTACTCATAGACTTATTTAGGCATTCCTCGTTAGGATATTTAAACGACAGAATGTCAGTCTATTTTTTTTTTAATTTTGGATAACGAATCGCGATACGGACATTGATTGTATCGTGCATCGTGGATTTTTAAACTATCGCGGTTCATCGATTCATCGATGAATCGTTGCAGCCCTAATAGGCTATTACTCTCTCTTGCCCATCCTGGACCGGACTTAATTCTGCAGCTACTGCCAAATTACTCGCGTCAGTATCCAAGACAAAAGGATCTGTTTGATTAGGTAATGCTAAAACTGGGGTAGTTATTAAAGCAGTCTTTATATTTTCAAAAGCCTCTTGCTGCTCCTCCCCCCAATAAAAAGGTTTTTTACCCGTGATAGAATATAAGGCCAGTGCCTTCTCTGCGTACCCTTTTAAAAAGACACGATGATAATTGGCGAATCCCAGGAATTTTTCTACCTCCCTGGTATTTTTAGGAATTGGCCAATCTCTCACCGGGACTAAGTGTTTATCACTCATTTTTATACCATTATTGCTCACAATACGGCCTAGGAACTCTACTTCTTGCCGGAATAATTCACACTTTTTAGGTTTCATTTTTAACCCGTACTGATGGAAACGTGCTAAAACTGTTCTAAGATTAAATATGTGATCTTCAAATTTTTGCCCCATAACTAGCACATCATCAATAAAGGCCAACGATATATTCCAATTAAGGCCTTGTAAAACTAAATTTGGAGTGCGACTATACGTGGACGGACTATTGGAAAGACCAAATGGCATACGTTTGAATTCGAAGAGTCCAAATTTAGTCAAAAATGCTGTTTTCTTTTGATCTTCAGGTTTGACTTTGATCTGCCAATATGCAGAGTTCGCATCTAACTTAGAGAACCATTGATTACCTGCAAGGGTGTCTAAACATGCTTCGATAATAGGTAAAGGATATACATCCTTAGTCGTAACTGCATTAAGAGCTCGATAGTCAATGCACCATCTTACATTTCCGTCAGGTTTGCGTATCAATACGGGGGCCGACGCCCAATCCGAAGTGGATGGTTCAATAACACCTGCTTTCAACATTTTCTTTAAATGGGATGGGCTTCCTCCTCAGAGGCAAAACACAAAGGTGTCCTACGCATCCGTTCCTTAATGGGCAAGGCATCCCCTGTGTGAATGGCATGTTCTATAGAAGTGAAATTTCCTAAGTCATATTCAGTTTGAGCAAAACCATCACTAAACTCAATCAATAATTCAGCTAATTGCTTTGCTTGTACGCTTGACAAATGCATAATTGATCGTTCATATAAAGAAACTAAATGTTCAGGTATCTCCTGGATACCATCTTCATTTAATACCTCCTTGACCTTGGAGGGACCTACAGGATCAATGGTGGGGGACCCCGGGAAAGAATCTCCTAAGGGGATAGAAAATATTGATTCCTTTCCAACCTCATAGGCTTGTCCAATTATGTCATTAGATTTCAAAACAATGTCCTTATCGGACGCATTAATCAAACATACTGTGGGATAATCAGTATTCGAATGAAGAGTACGACCGATAAGTAACTGTTCACTTTCTATAGGCTCTATCATATAATCTTTTAATGTCCTATCCATCTTACAAGGTAGACGAGTGACTGACCTAGCCGTAATAATAGTTTTAGTAGGGAACATAACCTGGGCAGTATATGGAGTACTATCAGTATTACACGTAGGCCTTAGTCCTGTTACTATGGGAATAGTATCATCACCTACTAGTAAACACTCATGTAAAAAGTCCATGATAACTTTCCATTTTCTAAGAAAATTTAAGCCAAGTAAAGCTGTATCAGCTAAAGCTACATAAACATTATCTGTAAACGTGAAAGACCCTATTCGGAGAGTAACGGGGCCAATCAAGAATCCAGGAAATGTCATATTTTCGGCTGCTGCATGTATGGTAATATCCCTCAGGCGATATTATAGTACAATCCGAACCAGTGTCAATTAACGACTCAGTAACTAAATTTTCTATTGTTAAAGGGACTCTATATGCAATAACAGAGGGTAATCTAGCAACAGAAATTTCATCATCAGGCTTAGAAACATTATCACTCCTCCCCACCTTGGATATAGGGGCAATGTCAATATGACATTTGTCTACAGGTTCAGGTAGGGGTGCTTGTTTCAGGTTTGGGCCTTGTTCAACAGGGATCGAGGGAAGGCCTACTGCCTCGTCCCTTGATCGTTTAAATTTTCACTGTCTTTAAAGCTTAATTGTTTCAGTGCAGAGGGAGGTAATTGCAAATTAGAAGGTCGCAAATGATATTCACTCTTATAATGTCCCACCTGTCCACATCCGAAACATGTCACACTTGTCCTATTAGGTGAAGGGGAGGACCTTCTCCTATTTAATGTCAGAATTAAAGTGGCTATCATGTCTTTAAGTTGAGTTATTTCCGTCTTCATCTGACCTATTTCAGACTCCTCTTTAGGTTTTTCAGGGGTGGCCTTAACATTTAAACTGGGAGGTTTAACTTGATTGCGCACAGGCGAAGGACTAGTTCTACGTACATGGGGATATGCCGGACTATATTCCACTGCATATCTGCTTGAGGCAATTCCCTAAATCCTGCTTGAGAGGGACTGGGTGATCTTGACTCAGGGTAGTTATAAGTACGACTAACACGAGGAGATCTCGGGTCTTTATATACTCGTCGAGAGAGCGAGGATCGAGATTGGCGAGAATTAAACTTAGCCGAATCATAGTCATCATTCCTATCTGTTCGGGGAAAATTACCAATCTCGGGTGCATTAAGAAATCATACCTCTCTATCTCCCCCGGGATAACTACTACCCCTACTCCTATCTGAATTAGATTTTAACGGAATTACGCTGTTGACATAAGTAAACCACTGCAACCGTTTAACCGCTTCCTCGATGTCAATTAACCTCAAGTTAGCGACAAATCTGCCCGCTTCTGGGTTATTACATCCCGAAACCAATTTCAAAACCGATTGCCTAGCTATAAAATCATCAGACGACAAACCAGAGTAAGCTCGTAATGCTAACTGCTGTACACGATCGCTCCAATCACTTATCGACTCATTAAGACCTTGAGTTGCGGTCTGAAACTCAACTTGGGCAGCCTCCGGAATAGTCTGACCTCCGAAACGTTTTTGCATCATTTCTAAAGTTGATTTAAAATTCATGCGAGGAAATCTTCGAGTTATACTTGTAAAGTATTCCGCTGCCTTATCCGTCAAACAATAACATAGATAATCCTTACACCGAGAGCTATGAGACCCCCAGGGCTGGGACAGGGCAAACCGGATAAACTTATCACTAAAAGTATCAGAACTTCCATCTGATTTCCCGTTATAAACTAAGGAGCGAGGATTCGTTGAGGGGTTAAAGGAATGTTCTCTTGGTTGATGTCTATTGTCATGTCTTACAAACCTCCCCTCCCTTTCAAATGTATTGGGGTAAGGTTGGGGTTCCCTACATCTTACATCTTGACTTGGGTACAAAGGGGGTTGCATGCATGACCGGGGATCCTCTAAAAATACCTCTGCCTCCTCCAGAAAAGCTTCCCTATAATCAAAGGGTTCCCATTTAACATGCCATTTAGACTCGGTACTAAAATCTAATTTTTCTGCCATGATATGATTATTGTTGATTTTCAGTAAACTAATTTTATTTGCAACCGAAATCCAACAAATAACCCTTTCAAATAACCCAAGATATAGGGGCTTTACTATAGAGCGGTGCTTGAGCAAAGCTCTTTTCCGGTAACACAGGACCGTAATTGAAAATGTCATCCACAGACTGTTGATTAAAAAAAAATTCAGCCGGAACCGGATACACTGGGTAAAACAGGCAATGCGCATGTCAACTTACCAAATCTCGGCCAAACGAGATCACATAACTAACTAGTCTCTATCATTCAGAAAAATATTCTACGAATATTAGTCTGGACAGGTTTTCAACATTTCAGAAAAATTGGCTAGATAATCCGGTCTTTCACATTATCATAAACAATGTCTAAGGAAGGTAATTCCTCTTAAACCAAGATGTTTACGCCCATGAAATTAATTTAAGAATGTCATTTCAAAAAATCCATTTGATTGCATGCAAGTTCAATATCTAACACTCTTAATTTTTTATTGTAAAATTTCTCTCTTCATGGGCCATATCTATGCTTTTAAAATTAATCCTAATTCGTCGTCACGATTCAGGTTTGTTTATATCAATGCAAGAATTATGGGATTTATTGTGGGAAGGGGCGCAACTCTTACTTGACTTGGCTAAAGAGGCTGGATAATCAACCACATTAAAAACCAAACTCCCGGTTACGCATGGGCAATGGACTTTACGTCAAATATTGACAACCTTCCCAGACCCTCCGTATGTTGAAGACTAGGAGGTTCTGGGTGACCGAGACTAGTAACTAACAAAAATAATTCTACACACCAAATCTCGCCCAAGCGAGATTACGCGCCTCATAGAACTATTTCTATGACGCGTCTAATCACTGACGTCACATATTTTTTACATCAATGAAAATAATTCTCACACGTTTTTGTTCTTTTTTTAAAAACAAAATTAATGTTAAAATTTAGATCTAAATCAAAATCAATTTTGAAAAAACTCAATTATTTAACATTTTTTGTATCAATTGAGAAAATTAATTATAAGGGTTGTATATTTGACAATAATCAGCTTCGCTCTACTCAGGCAATGTCTGTTACATATTATAAAAGTAATCTAAGAAAATAATTCAACTTAATCAAGTCAAGAATTAAACTTAATCTAAAAAATTTCCCAAAAGTTTGACTATTTTCTCAAAAGTCGGCCATTTTGGTTGTTTACTTCCGGCGAAAAAGCCTATCGGGAAATTCCTGAGTTACTTATATTTTCCACCTAACGTAAACCTAGACCAATAAATATCACTAAGTACAAATTAATATCCCTGCAGATTATTAATAAAAGTGAGAGAAATATTTTCATCCAAAAGCTAGACAATCTAAATTATTTGTTGAGTTTTCTATATGACTATTACTATCAATATAGCTAGAGCTAACCCCAAGCACAAAGAAAGCATGCGTTACCAAGGTGACGGCTAATACTTTCCAGCGCTTTCGAGTATACTATGTCAACAATTCAAATAATATATAATATATGGGTTTGCCCAATTGCAATATGAACTACAATTACCCTAATAAATATATCAGATACGAAATTACAATCACTACTACTTTTTATAATTTACCATGGGCAATTCGGTGAATTATATCCACTCAATCCAGGGGAAACGGGAATTTTAAACTCCCACTAACACCCTACCCACAAAAGTTCAAAAGTCGCAGCGCCATTTATAGTAAAATCGGGGTATATCTAGTATTTCTGAAGTCTAACCCCCCTTGAAATATACCCACTTAAACCAGGGATGCCCGGGTGTAAGGCTTATGGGTTGAGGGATGCTATCAGACAGACTGACGGACAATTTAGTTATTAATAGGGTTACATACAGCCACTACTCTACTAAGCAACATGCAACATACGATACATATCAAAGCTTACATATATTTCAGCCCATAGGCGTAGGAGCCAGGGGGGCAGGGGGGGCAATTTATTTTCGGGCAATGAAAAATTTGACGACCTTTTTTTTTCTATTAACGTTTAGAGAAAAAATATAACTAACTTATTTCTATGAGATCCACACTGCCCGAAAAGTATTTTCTCGTCTTTTTCTTGTCCACTGCATATGCCCGAAGCTCTCTTATGATAGGTATGCCCGAAAAAACGGTATTGCCCGAGAATAGGTATTGCCCGAAAAACGGGCATCGGGCCGGAAAGCGGCAGAGGAAACTAGCAGTAAAACGCGTTTGCGAACGTCAAACATTCCAAAATTTTCTAGTTTTGCTTTCCTAACTGTCATCGAGCCCTAATAAAACACTAATTTTACTTTTCTTGTAATTGAATATGACTATTGAATACTGAGTTGACTATGGATTAAAACATTTTGTCTGGAGCCACTCTACTTTGTGTGACATTTTTCAGGCATCGATTATTATTTGTGAATGCAGATGCAACAGTCTGATTGGATGGTTAGAATTCATAGTGGGATTTCAGTTACAAAACCATTGGATACTTTTGGAGTTGCTTACACGGGCTAGAATAGCAGAAAACGCATTTACGGTGATTAAATTTTCAAATTTTTCTCCGGGAGGGTGAGGCCTCCATATACCGCGCGACGATTGATTGGTTGTTTGGAATTCGGGTCAGCCAGGTAGGCTATATTGGACCAAATTGAAGTTGCTGTATTCACAGACTGGAATAACAGGAAAACGCATTTGCGGCATTTACATTTTCAAAATTTTCTCCCAACGGTCCCGTCTTCGTTGACTGTAAACGATTGATTCGAATTCGAGTCAGCCACCTTAATAAGGCTATAATATATATTCGACCACTTTGAAGTTGCTTTGTTCACCGGCTGAAATAGCAGGAAAACGCGTTTGCGACAGTTAAATTTTCAAAATTTTCTCCTAACGGTCCCGTCTTCGAAGACTGTAAACGATTGATTGGAATTCGAGTCAGCCACCTTAATTAGGCTATATTAGACCGCTTGAAGTTGCTTTGTTCACTGGCTGAAATATCGGGAAAACGCGTTTGCGGCAGTTAAATTTTCAAAATTTACTCCTAACGGTTCCGTCTTCGAGGACTGTAAACGATTGATTGGAATTCCGAGTCAGCCACCTTAATTAGGCTATATTAGACCACTTTGAGGTTGCTTTGTTCAACGGCTGCAATAGCAGGAAAACGTGTTTGCAGCCGTCAAATATTCCAAAATTGTCTTTGTGGGGGGGGTATACAAGGTCGCTGCTGTCTGTAAACCCGAAATTTTTTCGGGCATTTCGGGTTCTGCCCCCCTAACTGTCATCGAGCCCCAAGCCTATGTTTCAGCCTAGCATTAATAGAGGACTAAAGCTTTCTACTTACTATAAGCAATCCAAAAGAATAATGCACATGCACAGTAAAAACCCTTCTTCTATCTCCCAGTTGAACCGCCAAAACCGCAGTAGTGAACAAGTTGAAGTAGTCAAAGAGTAGAGGAGATACAATCTGTTTCACAGAGATTTTTTAATATCTCTGTTACAGATGACTGTTTCGACACGTGACGTCACATCACGCGGTGTCCATCATTGGCTCAATAGCGCGTGCATTGTTTTCATAAGACGTCACGGATTCGGGCTAAATGGTGAATTTTACTTTTTTTAATACCCATTTACACTAAATAGGAAATGATTTTTACCTACAAACAATTCAAACAACTTTATTTATTTTTCTCAAAAATGAAAAAAATGTTTCTTTTCGAAAGATAAAAGTTAATATTTTGTAGTCATTATGTCGCATCGATGTCACCTTATCAGTGATTGTAGCGGCAAGCGAATATTCACTGGGGATATTGACCAAACACAGGCCTTTATATAAAACCCACCACGCACGTGCAGAAAAGGAATAAACGTCACAAAGACTTTAGTGACCGATACGCGCGTCCGAGTGGTTGGTCTTCTTCTCTCCAATGGTTAACCAGCTGAAATAGAAATTCTTACGCCAAGCCCTACTACCATGTCCCTTGACAAAACCAAAACGGAACGCACACTAATGTCAAATCTCGTAACTTTTGAACAAAGTCCCAAGGATCAACTTAAACTAACCAACTTTAGATATAGGAATTAGCCCGAAATTCAGTATTCGCACAAAGGGAAAGAATAAATCTTGCATCACCCAATCGGAACCCTAAAAATACCTAGGAACTAATAACTCCGCAAATAAATATAAACATGCGGCCTTATGCCTGCCTCAGCCCGAACTTCAATATTCGCACAAAGGGAAACAATAAATCTTACATCACCCAATCGGAACCCTAAAAATAACTAGAAACTCATAACTTAAACCATCTACTACAAGATTAAACTCTACTCCGGAGATCGTGCTTGTCCCGAGCGAAATGAGTGATCATTCCAGCGGAACTTGCTAACCACCAGAAACAGAGTCTCCCTCCCCCTAAAGTTTGAATCGCCCGTCTGAGTCCACGCTTATCCTAAGCGGCGTAAGTGATCACGCCTGTAGGACTTGCATGTCAATAAACTCTACTGTAGAAAACTTGCTTGCCCCGAGCGAAATGAGTGATCATTCCAGCGGAACCCGCTAGCCACCAGAGACAGAGTCTCCCCTTGGGAATGCTTACCGCAGAGCGAAATATGTTAATATTCAAGCTGAGGTCCGCACCCCCCGACCGTTCCACTAAGACTGGCTTCTACTGTCCTTATATACCCTATCTATACGCTCTAAACTGCAGAATGCACGTGAATAAACTTTGACATCACATTCGAGCCGATTTGAAACCTGCGCTCCCATTGGCCGATTTTAACCCACGTTATCCAATAGGAACTGTCGAATTACTAACCCCAAGCCAATTTACAAAATGGCGGGTTTCTATCGAATTTCCGCATGGGATGACCGGCAATTCAAGTTTAATACAATATAGAGCAAATAATATAGGTCATTTCTATTCACGGGACAAGAATAACTGAGGTCACAGCTAATTCAATGATTTGTAAAATACGAAACCCCCACAGAGGTAAGACTAAGAAAGCGAGACTTAAATCTCTCCACGTGTTTTAAGATGACAATGGGTCTCGGTCAGTGTAAATTGATCCTTAAAATATAAATAGTTTACCTGTGTTCTGGCTTCAGTTTCATCAACCTCCTCACTTTTAGCTGTTTCAGTCTTTCTACTTGGTTGCCAAGGATATTCAGCTTTATGAAGTTTGTAAATTTCCTGAAATAAAAATCAGCTGTTGAGTTTTCAATGTTTGCAAGCCACAACGATACTCTGCTTTAAGAGATACTTTTGTATTAAGAGATAGAGAAATAGTGATCAACTAGTGCTAGCACGATATCATGGAATCGATGTATCGGGATTCACCTTATGATTTGGATATTGAATCACAAGACGTTGAATCATGTATCGTGTTCTTTCTTTTATGAATTTTTGTCGCTTCAGCAAGTAAGCTATCACTCATATTAATTATCCATAGGTACACAAACACTCTTAAATTGTTTTGGTCCTTATTTTCAATTTTTCATCCACATCAATATCATGATATAAAACAGTTTAAATTCTTCGACATCGACAAAACTAAACTATCATGTATCCTGTTTTCTTGGTCAATACTGACCTGGTTATGAATCATAGCACAAGAATCCCAAATCCTATTGTATTGTGACTACATAACGTGCGGATTGGCACATGATCTGGGACTTGCGGCACTTTGATATCTGTATGGATTAAATTTGGAATCTCTGTATGGATTAAATTTGGAATCACAACTAATGGTTAAAAAAAAGATCAACACAAATCTGTTTTCACTAATTCTATTGAAACAGATAATATGATAGCAGATAACAGAAATAATGAATTTCATATACATACATACAAGCTGAAATTCTGAGCACCGAAGAATCATGTGAATATCTA